CTCGGAGGCGTTGCACTGCTGGTTGCGGGCCCAGGGGCTGCCACGGTGGACTGGTGTGCAACGCCCCCGGGCTAGGCGCTGCACCGTAGAGTGTGGCGCCGTCGTGGCGGGCGCTACACAAAAAGGTTAGAGCTGTGAAATAGTTTCACGGCCAGTTCATTCCGTGAATTGATTTCGTCCATAGGTCAAAATTATCAAAATTGCCGGGAGCTGGTGGTTGGCTGGATCGAGGAGGATCCCGAGGAAGGAGAGGGAGTGGTTGGCCTGCGACGGCGTGATGATGGAATGAATGGGACAAGCTAGGGGCCAGGGTTTCATCTGCTTTAAATATAGTAGGTAGGAATTGGGTAGGGGCTATCTCGTCCCTCCAATCGCAATCGGACGGTCGAGAAAAAGAATAGATTGGGAGTCCAAATAAGAAAACGGAGATGTTTTATAGATGTTTGGGGATGATCCGGACCCATCGGTAACGACAAACCGGGTTGGGTTCGGGACAGCTTTCGCACGCGCGTGAGGGGTTTGAGTATTGTGTAGAGAGGGTCAAACGGTCGGACAACAAAACAATGGTCAGTCTGAGAAAGGTCAACAAAGACGAGGAAGAAGCGGCAACTACCAACAGATGCAAGTTTTAAAAACAATGACGGCAACAGAGTGCTGATGCAATGCAAATGATGTGATGATGAATGCAACAAACAAATAAATCACAGAGCTGACAAGCAAAACATGGAAGGCATCCAGAGCGCCGGTCTCAGGGCGTCACAAGTGGCTACAATCCCGCTGCCTGGTGGGCGTTCATTGTAGCCACACCCCATCTCTTCTGATTAATTGAGCACATATTTTGAGGGGGGAGGGGGCCGCCTGCTAGGAGGCGGCCCGACCCCATTACCGCCTGCTGGGGATTTGTCGTCTTCTGGGGCTCGCCGACAGGTAGGGCTCGCTGCCTGCGGGCCGTACCGACCGGCCGTCGTGGGAGCATAGCTCCCTACGTAGTAGGTGATGTCACGGGCAGCGTGGCTACAGTACCCCGCCGGGTGAGGGGCGTCCGCTTGGTACGGTCGTACTGTAGCTGTGCTCAACCGTAGATTCGGGGGTGGCAGGTCGCACTGTAGCCACGCTCCGTCCTGTCATAGTTATGTGGGTGCAAACTTTGAGGGTATGAGGGGCCGCCTGCTAGGAGCCGGCCTCCTCGTAGCCGCCTTCTGGTGTCTTGCTGCCTTCTAGTAGCCGACCCACTAGACCAGCCGGCCCGAGGAGCCGGCCATTCGTCCAGGAGGTGTGAGGGGCGCAGCTAGCCCCGATGTCTTGAAATATCATAGGGAGCCGATGAGGCTACCCGTGGTCATTTACTCCGACGCCACCTGTGTGCAAAGCACGTCGATAGAACCAGTCTCATAAACGCGGTCATGTAATGTCGGTCCGGGCCGCTTCATCCAACAATAACGCCGAATCAAAGTAAGACGTTAGTGGTAAGCAGTATGACTATTATCGCCCACAACTCATTGTGTTCTACTCGTGCATATATCATCTACACATAGACCTGGCTCGGATGCCACTGTTGGGAAACGTAGCATGCAATTTCAAAAATTTACCTATGCTCACGCAAGATCTATCTAGGAGATGCATAACAACGAGAGGGGGAGAGTGTGTCCACATACCCTCGTAGACCAAAAGTGGAAGCGTTAGGTTAACGTGGTTGATGTAGTCGAACGTCTTCGCGATCCAACCGATCAAGTATCGAACGTATGGCACCTCCAAATGCTGCACACGTTCAGCTCGATGACGTCCCTCAAAATCTTGATCCAGCAAAGTGTCGAGGGAGAGTTCCGTCAGCACGACGGCGTGGTGACGGTGATGGTGACGTGATCCGCGTAGGGCTTCGCCTAAGCACTACGTGAATATGACCGGAGGAGTAAACCGTGAAGAGATACGCCGCACATGGCTTGGAAAAATTGGTGTGTCTCCAAAGGGTGCCCTGCCCACGTATATAAAGGAGGGAGAGGGAGGAGGCCGACCCTAGGGGGCGCGCCATAAGGGGGGAGACCTACTAGGACTCCTAGTCCTAGTAGGATTCGCCCCCCCTTCTTTTCCTTCTCATGAAGGGGGAAAGGGGGAAAGGAGAGGGAGTAGGGGAAGGAAAGGGGGGTGGTGCTCCCTTCCCTAATCCAATTCGGCCTCCTCCCTTGTGGGGGGTGCACCAGCCCTTGTGGGCTGGTTAGCCTCCCTCCTATGGCCCATATGGCCCATATCTTCCCCCTGGGGGTTCCGGTAACCCCTCAGGTACTCCGGTATGTACCCGATACACTCCGGAACCCTTCCGGTGTCCGAATACTACCTTCCAATATATTAATATTTACCTCTTGACTATTTCGAGACTCCTCGTCATGTCCATGATCTCATCCGGGACTCCGAACAAACTTCGGTCTCCAAAACACATAACTCATAATACAAATCGTCATCGAACGTTAAGCGTGCGGACCCTACGGGATTGAGAACTATGTAGACATGACCGAGACACATCTCCGGTCAAAAGCCAATAGCGGAAACTGGATGCTCATATTGGTTCCTACATATTCTACGAAGATCTTTATCGGTCAAATCGCAATAACAACATACGTTATTCCCTTTGTCATCGGTATGTTACTTGCCTGAGATTTGATCGTCGGTATCATCATACCTAGTACAATCTCGTTACCGACAAGTCTCTTTACTCGTTCGTAATGCATCATCCCGCAACTAACTCATTAGTCACATTGCTTGCAAGGCTTATAGTGATGTGCATTACTGAGAGGGTCTAGAGACACCTCTCCGATACTTGGAGTGACAAATTCTAATGTCGATCTATGCCAACCCAACAAACACCTTCGGAGACACCTGTAGAGCATCTTTATAATCATCCAGTTACGTTGTGACGTTTGATAGCACACAAGGTGTTCCTCCGGTATTCGGGAATTGCATAATCTTATAGTCAGAGGAATATGTATAAGTCATGAAGAAAGCAATAACAATAAAACTTAATGACCATTATGCTAAGCTAACGGATGGGTCTTGTCCATCACATCATTCTCTAATGATGAGATCTCGTTCATCAAATGACAACACATGTCTATGATTAGAAAACTTAACCATCTTTGATTAGCGAGTTAGTCAAGTAGAGGCATACTAGGGACACTATGTTTTGTCTATGTATTGACACATGTATTAAGTTTCCGGTTAATACAATTCTAACATGAATAATAAACATTTATCATGATATAAGGAAATATAAATAATAACTTTATTATTGCCTCTAGGGCATATTTCCTTCAAAACTATATACTCCATATAACATATATGGTTGAACCATGTATTTTTTCTATTCAAAACATTTTAATGTTGAATTGTTGTGTGCTATTTGAATAGTTAAATGATCACGTGCACGTGTTTGCGTAAAAACGGGGGTTTGCAAATGGAGAGAAAGTAAGTTTACGTGTAATTTTTGTAGCTTGCCCGGGATTATTTTGACCACCATGGATGCGGTAATTACTGTAATGTTAAAAATTCGACGTCAAATTTTAACCATGGCAAATCGAATGTTTTTATGCCAAATTTAATTGTAGTAAGAATGAAAATTTTCTTTAGTAAGCATACCAAATCCTGACTAAAAAATTGAACATGGCAAGGATTTACCATAATTGCTAGGAAATTGCCATCCTCATGATAATTAAATTTGACATGAAAACCGGTCTATTTGCCATACTAAAAAGTGAGTTCGATTTGTTTGGGTCAAAATAGCCCGTTATGATGATGATCGGAGATGCTCCGTAACGCGAGGCCCGTCCCCTCTCGGCCCCATCATTTCCTCCCTCTTTGGCAGAGCGCGCGGCTGCGGCCCGCGCCGTGCCCACCTTGTCGCTGCGCCCCAGCAAGCTTTCAAGGCCTCCCATGCCCACGCCGGCACGCCATTCTCCACACTGGACCTTCCACTGAGCCATGCTCCTCCTCACAAGGCTGGCCAAACCCGGGTGCTGCTCTCCGACGACCTCCCCGCGTGTCGCCCATGCTGCTCTCGGCTGGAACCGATTCTTCCACACCGGCGACGCACACAATGTGTTCGGTGCGATGCCTGCACCGGACCACAGGCAGTGCAGTGAACTTCTCAGGTCGCGCACCGCGAGCGGGGATCACTACGGGTCCGTCTGCCTCGTCCGCGGGATGCTCGGGCGGGGCCTCCGGCCCGACAGGCTCGCGCTCGCCGCGGCGATCAAGTCGGCGTCGGCGCTCCCCGATGGCGGCGCCCTGGGGAGGTGCCTCCACGGGTTTGTTGTCAGGCTCGGGAACGCCACGGGCGTGGCGGTGGCGAAGGCGATCATGGACATGTACGGGAGGCGTGGGGCTCTCACGGACGCCCGCCTAGTGTTTGATGAAATGGGCTGCCTTGACGCGGTATGTTGGAACATCCTGATCACTGGGGCCTCCCGGGCTGGGTATTTTGACGACGTATTTGCCTTGTTCCGGTCGATGCTTGCGTGTGGTGTAGATGAGAGCATGCCGACTGCGGTGACGGTGGCTGTCGTCATTCCGGTATGTGCAAAGTTGAGAGATTTAACGGCTGGGAGGAGTGTCCATGGCTATGTCGTCAAGACTGGGTTGGAATCTGATACTTTGTGTGGGAATGCATTGGTATCCATGTATGCAAAATGTGGTGCAGGTGGAATCACGGATGATGTGCATAGAGCCTTTTCTTCAATTCATTGCAAGGATGTTGTTTCATGGAATTCGATCATCGCAGGATACTCCGAGAATGGGTTGTTCGAAGAAGCACTCGTACTATTTGGTCAGATGATCTCAGAGGAATGTCTTCCGAATTATTCAACGGTAGCTAATATTCTTCCTGTATGCTCGTTCATGGAGTATGGGAGTAACTATGGCAAAGAAGTTCATGGTTTCGTGTTCCGGTTTGGCTTATATATGGACATATCTGTTTGTAATGCGCTGATAACTCATTATCCAAGGTGTGTGAAATGAGGGTTGTGGAATCAATATTCAGAAGTATGAATTCAAGAGATATTGTTACATGGAACACAATAATTGCTGGATATGTGATGAACGGGTGCAACTCTAGGGTGTTAGGCCTGTTCCGTAGGCTTCTGTCTACAGGAATGACCCCTGATTCTGTTTCTTTCATTAGTCTGCTCACTGCTTGTGCTCAAGTAGGTGATGTCAAAGGAGGGATGGCAGTTCATGGTTATATTTATCGGCATCCAGTACTTTGTCAGGAAACACCCTTAATGAATGCTCTTATTAGTTTCTATAACCAGTGTGACAGATTTGATGATGCTCTTCATTCTTTCGCTGATATTTTGGACAAGGATTCAGTATCATGGAATGCAATTCTATCGGGCTGTGCTAACAGAAAAGAACATATTGAGGAGTTCGCCAAACTCTTCTGTGAAATGTGCCGCAAGGTAACTCGTTGTGACTCAGTCACAATCTTGAATTTTATCCGCATGAGTACCTTCTGTGGTGCTAAGAGGGTCCGGGAAGCTCATGGATATACCTTGCGAGTTGGTTATATTGGGGAAATATCAGTTGCAAATGCTATTCTCGATGCATATGCAAAGTGTGGTCAGCCGCAGGATGCAGATACACTTTTCAGAAACCTAGCCGGCCGGAACATTGTAACAGGCAATACTATGATTTCTTGCTACCTGAAAAATAACAGTGTAGAGCAAGCTGAGAGAATCTTCAACCAAATGCCTGAGAAAGATAGGACAACATGGAATCTCATGATCCAGTTGTATGCACGCAATAATATGTCTGATCAAGCTTTCTGCCTGTTTCATCAGTTGCAGTGTCCCGATACTGTTGGCATTACAAATATTCTCCTGGCTTGCATCCATTTGAGTTCGGTACAACTTGTGAAACAATGCCATGGCTACATGCTCAGAGCATCCCTAGAAGACATCCATCTTGAAGGAGCTCTTCTTGATGCATATTCAAAGTGCGGGAATATAACCAATGCATACAACCTATTTCGACTCGGCCCTAACAAAGACCTTGTCATATTCACTGCCATGATAGGAGGCTATGCAATGCATGGAATGGCAGAAGAGGCAGTGGAGCTGTTTTATGAAATGCTTACACTTGACATTAAGCCAGACCATGTAGCTCTAACTGCTCTGCTGTCAGCCTGCAGTCATGCTGGGCTTGTTGATGCAGGAATCAAGGTTTTCAAGTGCGCCAGAGATATTTACAGAGTTGAACCGACAGCAGAGCACTACACATGCATGGTTGACCTTCTTGCCCGCAGCGGGCGTCTCCAAGACGCATACAGTTTTGCGTTGGATATGCCCCCTCACATGGCCAATGCAAATGTATGGAGCTCTCTGCTAGGAGCATGCAAGGTCCATGGAGAGGTCGGAATCGGCCAACTCGCAGCTGATCACTTGTTCTCCATGGAGGCCGGGGACATAGGGAACTATGTCATTGTGTCAAACATCTATGCAGCTGATGAGAAATGGGACGGTGTGGAGCATGTCAGGAAATTGATGAAGTCCAAGGATATGAAGAAACCTGCAGGATGCAGCCAGGCACTTGTTTATAGCCAGTGATGTTAAGCACCAAAATAGTTCTTTTATCTACGACATGGTTGGAAGTTTGTATCAGCAAATCAAAGATACACAAGCTGGCAAAGAACATTCAGTTACAAGTTTCAACGTTAGTGCAATTGATCTGGTCACAGGGTTACAGAAACTTGAATTGGAGTTTTTCTTCTCAAACTTGTCTTTGCTAGCTCTTCCCATCCATGGTATTTATCTTTCTGAGGTATGCAAATACGAAATTACCTAAGCCCATTACATTTTGGTCATTTGCGCTATAATAGCACTTTTGTAAAGGCAACAGCATGCTACCAGACATGTCCGAGAAAGAGTTACTTGACTGAATTTTGTGCATTCACGTTTGTCTCCTGACATCCGGCGTGGTTGAACTGTGGATGAACTTGATAACTTTGTATCCATTTCTTCTTATGCTTATGCTAACAAATTCATCCTATTGACAGAGTTGAGACAAATAAGTAACATGGCTCCGCGCCACAGCATGCATCTTGGAGTTGAAGCAAGCAGCAAAATATATCATGTGCCATCTACATTGGAACTCTCTTCGGCTTTCTACCAAGTACCAACCAAGGTTCAGCCACATCTCATTTTGTTCATGCCTTACATCACAACAATGTTGTTTGTTTCTGACATCTCATTATCTTGTTAATATTTTATTATGACACTGAATTATAAAATAAGGGTGCCTGCTGATTAATTTTATCTTCAGAGGGAAACTTATTGTGTGTTTTGATCTGCATGCTGACTTGCAAGATCGCATTCTTATTCGTTCATATGGGCTGCTGTAATCATATCCTTAATATCTGTACCTAAATCCTGCATGTATGCCTTAAGATTTACCTTTCCGACGATCCTCCTCTGCTAAACTAGTAAAACTATCATGGCGATCATAGAGGGCAATGGAATTGTTTTCTTCATAAAGTTGTATCAGCATGGACTTTCTGGCTGTCTGGCACGACTCTTGCCTTTAGAACAAGAGTCCGAGACTGATTGATCAAGGAAATGAGCCCAATGCGACTCCTGAAAGAAGTTGGAACTAATAAACTTAACTCCTTGATGACAGGTTCACTACTCTTGAAGTCTTGGTGACAGTTGCCGATCCACTGGCATTAGGAATTTCAGCAATGTTATCTTTTGGGGGAAATCTGATTGGAGGTCTGTTAACAGCGCCAGCGAGGCCGATGAAACACCACAAGTAGCAGGAGTGAGGGTGAGAGCTCTCGTTCGGCTCGCTTGGTGTTGATCGAAGATATCTTGGGTCAGTAGCTCGCCTTCCTGCTTGTGCTGATATTTTCGTGCATAAAATTGGTGAAAGATTCACGCTTGCCCCCCTGACTTGCTTGCATCATCAATTGCGTACAGTTCTTCCTTTTCAGAGTTTACACCAAAAAAATTTCTCATCTTTGGGTAGCTGTACAGTTCTTCCTTTTCAGTTGCGTTCTTAGGACCTCATAAATTTCGTTATGCCTTTCTTTTTTCTTTTCTTTTTCGTTTTTTTTTAAATTTTATTGAGCCAGTCCGTAAGACCCGCACCGCGCACCTTCTCGGTGCTTTCTTCTAATTCAGGAAAACAAGATTGATGAAGATTTTGCATATGTACTGCACCAGGTCGAGATCCTCTGTAGTAGTGCAGTTGACGTGTGGGGTCAGGTCCACTGCACCCATTCTCTTTGACAATGCAAAGCTCTTTCTGCTGATCTGCAGATACATCATCATCAGGTGGCTAATGGAAGAAAAAAAATATAACCGCATACGCACGCTTCATTCCCAGCCCGCCACGGCCCAGAAGACCCAGGCCCAACCGCGTTTGAGGAGTCAACTATACTTGCCGGGAACGGAAACGCGCACCGAGTCCAGCCCGAACTTTCCTTGCCATGGCACGCGCTTTTTACCTCCACCGTCCGAATCGGAAAGAGGACACCTCACGTCACCTACCCTATATAATAACGACCTTCACCACGAGTTTGTCCCCCTTCGCGACCTCGCGGACAGAAGAAGAAGAGAGAAAAAGAAAGATTCCCCCGAGTTCGCTCTCCGGAATCCTCCGCCCGCCGCCGCCGCAGTTTATGGATTTCGGAAGGAACGCTGCAGCCCGGACTTGTGAAGCCAAGAGCAGCGTCTCCCCCCGTCCCTCCGGTCTGCCCTTCTCACCGGCCCCCTCCACGCCGTGGTTCCGTGAGCTGTGGGTCAACGCCCCCAAATAACACCCTTCTGCAGAGGTACGTACGTGCGCCTACCGGTCTATCTGAATAGTGAGTAGAGACCACGGGGAAAGCTTAAGCCGTGGGCGGCTGGAGCTTGCGTGGTGGATTCCCTGTGCTATCAAATCTGTGCAAATTTCTATTGGATCGCTGTTAAATTTGTAAGGGCTTAGTATTTGGGGGAAGCCAAAGAGGGTTGGACTGTCAGAAAAGTGGATTCGGTAAAAAAGAAGAAGTGCATAGTAGCTTAATATTTGTCTCCGGCGCTACTCGTAGTGAATGTTGTGAAAGAGGATGGCTCTAAATTGATGAAGAACGACTTGGAAGGCATCATAAAGAGTAAATCATTGTTTCATTTATGACTTAATGATTGTTTCCAGCAATTGTTAATCAATAAAGTGGTGGAAACAATCATTAGTAGCAACTGTGACAAAGAAAATAACCTCAAGGCTTATTTTAAACAGGACACTGGTTTGTATTGTGCAGTGTGACAGTTGCCTTAAACAGTTACTACAAGCAAACGTGCATAATCATAGGTCTATTTGGAACTTATAAAATCACAGGGCTTACTGTCGGACGTTCAAGTCAAAGGTCCAATCATTTCTATTGTAACTTTTTTCTGTAACTAATGGAAAGACTCATTGGTACTTATAAGGTTTAATGCGAGAACATATCAGTTTCAACAAAACCTTGTTATGAAAATGAAAAAATGGTGTGGACCATGTTGTTCTTGAACTTAATTATTACTGTTAGTGATATGTTTGTGTTCCAAGATTTGCCACTTTTGAATGTTTTATTATATGGTTGTATTAGATGAAGTGAGTTGACATCTTTGCCCACGTTTTAGGTGGAAATTGGTGGATTTCTCGATTGGTTGAAGGAAGTAAAACAAAGGGGACCCACTACCCAGCGTCCTTTCGGCGAGTGTTGGGGTCTTATCTATTTAAGCTAAAATAAGGCCATTCAAGAAGGCTGTCAACTGTAAACATGTATAGGCCGAAGATCTCCAATTCGGGGTGGGCTGCTTTCGATCGCAGGTTGCGTGGCACAGCTGATGCAGGCGATGATGTTGATGTCAACTCATTTCCTGCTCTCTCGGGTTCTAGAGGCTCCAGTTCTGCCAGCAGCTCAGCTATAGGAAATAATAATATGCCAAAGGCAAAGCCTTTTGCATCAGTGATTCGCCCCCCTGTTGAATTTGCAGTTGTTGGTAATGAAAACGGAAATAGGCATTTGACTGATCACATGGTGAGAACAAATTCTGGTGTAAACTCTGCATCTGGTAACAAAATTAAGCTCCTGAAGGATGCTCATAGTTGGGCCGACAGTAATTTAATTGAGGACATATTGGCTGGCGTGGATAATGATGTTGGCCAGGCATCTGTTTTGCTGAAATCCATGGTCGCTCCTGACTTTATGCCAAGGGGGGATAGAACAACTGGTCAACCTCCTTTTGAGATGAATAAAGCACATGGTTCAGTGTCAGGAAACACTATAGCAGAGAATAAACATTCAAATGAATCACAACTGTTGCCACCGCAAATGAATTTAATCTCTATACCCCAGGAGCCTGAATTAGAAGAGTTTGATGATGATTACTTAAACCACCGGAAAGATGCATTGAAGATGATGAGGTATATTGCAAACCCTTATTTATGTTATGGGTTTCACTAGCTTATGCATATCAGAGTAGGCTGCATTCATGCAAACCCAGACAAATGTAGGTCGAATAAATGCAAACTTTCGTAGCAACATACTTCTGTAACTCATGTCTTGCATCAGCATGATGGTCAGAATCTGAGAGACAAGATTAGCTAACTTTGACCCCTTGAATGTGCCGCACTCCTGACGTTGAGTCTTTTCGTGTGAAACTGACCCATTGTGTTTCCTTTTGGTCATAGGGCTGCCACAAAGCATTCTCAGGCTGCCAGCAATGCATTCTTCAGAGGTGACCATGCTGCTGCCAAGGAACTCTCCCTCAGAGCTCAAGAAGAGTGGTTGGCTGCTGAAAAGTTAAATAATAAGGCAGCAGAAGAAATATTTCATCTCAGGAACAGCAACAATAACATTTGGAAGATAGACATGCATGGTCTACATGCATCAGAGGCTGTAACTGCATTGGAGAGGCATCTTCACATGTTAGAGTTCCAGCCACCAGGGAATAATCCAACTTCAACTGATGAATTAGATAAGTCTGAACCCACAATTGCTGTCCCAAATGAGGTGGCAGCAGAGAAAGTGGTGGTGTTTCTTCGCCCTAGACAGTCTGTCTTAGAGGTGATCACAGGTAATATATTGCCCTCTATTAACTTATTTGTTAATTACTCGAAACTTCTTGTTACCGCAATCACTGCCACATGAGGGCATCACTACTCTTTTGTAGCCGTACCTTGTGTAAGCAACACCAGATTAAGCGAGATCTTATTGTTTTGCATCTTACAGGGATTGGCAGGCACAGCAAAGGACAGGCTTCACTGCCTGCTGCAGTCAGGGGCTTCCTTATTGAAAATGGGTACCGATTTGAGGAGCTGAGGCCTGGTGTTTTCTCTGTCCGCCCTAAATTTCGCCGCGGGTAAACCTGTGCAAGACTGAAACCATTCCATCAAGTTCCGTTGTTCGGCAAATAAATTTCTGTGAAATGTGCTGTCAACGAAATAGAACGTAGAAACTTGGGCAACTTGTAGTTCGTGTATCTTGAATGTGGGAACTAGGCGTCGACCAGTTGGCTAGTGATGCGCTACCAGCTGCGCGCCCAGCCTTTCACCATCGTCCGAGCCTTGTGTTCCGCAGGGTGCGTGCCTGATTTTAGTTTTTCTTAATAAATTGTCGTAGGGGCTAGTCCGTATGGGTCTCCTTTTTTGTTGTATCTTGAATGTAACAAGTTTTACAGATACTAATGTTATTGTGTAGCCACCTGACAAGAGATGCATAATTGTATGTAACTATATACAGGATGACAATCAAGGCCACAATGTACTGTTATTTTTGCTTACTGCTGCAACCAAGGCTCCTGATTACTCTATGATTTGAATGCCTCAGAATTTCGCTTGGCAGTTTTTTCTATCTTTTGCCCTATGCAAAACATTGCATTGGATCATGTGCAGTGCAATAAAAAATAAGAGGAGAAGAAAAGAAGTGAAAGAAGAAGAAAGCAAAAAAAAAAACTTAGGTTCTTTTAGGAAATGTCATCATGGCTTAGCTTTATTTCGCACTTCCTCCGTTCCATAATGTAATGCATATAGATTTTTTGAAAACTCAAACCTCACAAACTTTGACCAAGTTTGTGGAGGAAAACAATTACATGTAGAAAGCCAAACATATGTCATTAGATTCGTCATAAGATGTAGTTCTATTTTTATTTTTTTTGGTATTATAGATATAAATAGTTTTCTCTGTAAACTTTATCAAAATTTGCAAAGTTGACTTCTCAAAAAATCTATATGCACTGCATTAGGAATGGGGCAAACTAGGGTACATCATTTAAGTTAAGAAAAAGGACACATCATTCAAAAACCAACCGGTAATAAACCGGGGAGGATTCTTCGTCCACAAACCCTAACCATACTACCTAACTCGTGAGCAACACGGTTTGGAAAAATGTTGCACACTAGGCAGGAGCCCATTCAGATTGGATCCGAGTGGAAATTGGTGTGGACTCCTAGTGGGCCAAGTGTCGAGCCTGCGTCGGAGGTGTATATAAAGGGGAGTGAGGTGCACCTTTTATGTTTGATATTTTTCTCCCTACCACAACCGCCGCCACTCCCAATGCCCCTATGCCTTGCAACCAGACCTAGCAGTCCGCAGCCCGACGCTACTCCTCGTACGGGTGGATACCTTGGAGGCCTAGCAATTGGTTCAGAACCTTCTGAACCAATTCCACTTTAATTTACTTACCTTCTGAACCTTAATTTACTTACCTTTTGAACCAATTTCACTTTAATTTACTTATCAAACTTTTAATCAAAATATAAGGTAATTCATCGTCAGAATTTGATGAACATTTATTTACACAATCGCATTATTATTGACAGGTAAATCACAAGTTAACGTATTAGAATATTTATATCCCGTTGCAACGCACGGGCATTGTTCTAGTCAAACCAACTAAAAAAGCTTGACACACCAACATAAACACATCAGATCCGAATAATCGGATGTGCGAGGACAAAAAACTCTAACTTCATAACACCGCCAAAAAAGAATGACAGTACTTTTATTCTTACAAAATACAAAAATCACTAGATGTTGAAGAGGAACATAAAAATCTTGAAGATGTGAAGTCCCCCTAGCTCGCAGCGCTAAGATGGCAGCCGGAGGCGAGGGGACCAAAGATCGTTGGCGACAGCTGTTGCTGCGCCGTTCATGAAATCCAACGTCGTGCTAATTGATTTTTACTAGGGAGTCTCCTCTCACTTCTATTCTTTCCTCTATCCACCTTCTAGTGTAAGGGTAAATCAGTTCGTGGGCTTTGGTGAGTATATTTTCGCCATGACTTTTCCTTGAATTGCTCGAGGGGATCGAAGGATATAACATATATGTATATTTTCGCCATCTTCTACCTTCCATAATTCACATGTAGCCTTTTCTGAAGGTTTGAATTTCATATCATATGTTGTGCCAAATATAAAATGAGCTGTTTGTCAAGGTTGCATCAAAATTTACCATCTGGAAATATATAGGGTGTAGAACTCTGACATACAAAAATGAGTTTTTTTTGCAATAAAAATGGGTTATTCTCGATAGGACGCCAAACTTGTTTCCCAGTACTAGTAGGGTCCTATTAAAGTACAAAACCGCATAACTCTTTTCTTTAGTCACATTCATTTTTCACTAGGCAAACCAGTGTATTTGCTTTTGGTTTTCCTTGTCACTCTACCAATATCGTGACATCGCCTCCGTAATTTTCTGGCAAAATAAAGTCCTAAATTGACGTCACCTTTAGAGGGACTGTAAAGTAATCTTTACGAAAGGAATTGAGAGGGAAAAAACGAAGAGAAGATAAAACGGGAGGCACAGCGGTTCATTGTTCAGGAATTTGCCACGTGGCTACAGATTTTACGACACGCTCTGTGGCCGCCGTCCGGTCGATGCCATACAGAAACCCTGCGTACTGGGCCCAGGTGTCAGTGAGACACTCCCACTGCTCGCTCCCTCCCCCGAAACTGTGCACGCCTCCGCGGAGCTCCGAGCAGTCGGAGGCAGGCAGCGATGGCCTCGCCGGCGGTGGCGATGCGGCGCCCGTCCCCCACCGTCCTCGCCTCCGCCCCTCGCCGCCGTCCCCGCCGTCACGTGAGTGCCCACTCCCGTCGCTCCCGTGGCGCCCCCCGGCCGAAATTGTTTAGGCCCGTATCTGCGCCTTCTGATTTGGTGTGTCGGCCTAATAATTTCCGCGCTTTGATGGCGGAATTCTGTGCTTCGATTGTGGAATGTCAAATCCTCTTGGAGCGATCCAGCTAGTCCAGCAGAGTTTGACTACCGTTGTCGAGTCAGTAACATTAGGGAATCGGTTGCTCTTGGATTGGCTCCACTTAAAGTGAGTGGACAGGACCATTACGTGTAGGCTTGAGGCTAGTAGGATTTGGTTTGTGTGATAATAAGCGCGGTGAAACTGGCAGTTAGAGAGTTGTTCCTGTCACATTATATATATATATATACATAAAACCAATACCGATATGATGACTGTTTCCGATTTAAGTATCTACACCCTTATGAACACGGTGTTCTATTAAACATTAGAGAAATGAATCATGTACTCCTATACACTCCGATCCGTCTACAAATGATATCCATTCTGGAATTTGTGTAATTCTTGTCCAGTGTGATGTTTCTTATTTTGTGCCAAATTCTGTTCCCAAGCCTTTGCTTATTCATTTCATCCACAATGATTTGCAGGAGTATTCACCTTCCAACATGGGCTCCCCAAGCTCGGCTTCACGCTTAAAAGTTACTGCACTTTTTGGGTGGATCAAGGGAGATAGATATTCGAGGACTCGTGAATTGATCCCTTCTGCTGAATCGTACACTCTCACAGGGTCAGCCTCAGAGGTGTTTCTGTTTTTCTTGAGTCAACTCTTTTTCCAGGACTTGTGCGCCTGATTCATGGCTTTCTTAACGATTTCTTGATTTTAGGTGGACACAAAGCCACGCGAGGTATCGATTTCTGTTGTCTCTTCTATCATGGACATACCTCCGGCAGAGTGGGATGCATGTGCAGTTGATTCAGTTGAGCCTGAAAAGTTTAATCCTTTTCTTACACATGCATTTCTCTCAAGCTTAGAGGAATCGGGTTCTGCGGTGAAGGTGAGCATATAAAGCACCATTTCTTGATTCCGTACACCCACTATCAGACTTTATACTCATTTCATGGTTCATTTAGTCGTGTTAATATACTCCCAGAAATTTCAATACCTAATATCTCTAACTTTTGTTCTATCCCAATAAGCATGGGCCCTACAATTTATAATTGTTATGAGCCTCCTTGAAACTGTCATGTCCTGTACTCATTTCAGGAAACAGGGTGGTTACCCCTGCATGTTGTTGCACGGGACAAGAACGAAAATATTTTAGGTGTTATTCCGCTTTACCTTAAAAGGTTTAACATCATTAACACAATATCACTACCGTTTCCCTAATTTCTGTACACTTCCCTTCATCTCGTTCATTGGCTGAACAACCACAATGTGCATTTGCAGCCATTCTAGGGGTGAGTTTGTATTCGATCAGTCATGGGCGGAAGCTTACCACAGCTATGGACTTGAATACTATCCAAAGTTGCAGTCTTGTGTCCCTTTTACTCCAGTAACTGGTCAAAGAATATTACTTCGGAATACATCCTACCGGGATCAAGTTTTTGATGCTTTAGTAAAAGCTTTGAAGAATTTGGCTACCAAGGTAGTGAAGTCAGAATTCTAGCAATATATTGTTAACAGTCTCTTGGCTGCCGAATAATTGTAGCAAAAGTTACAAAATGCTATTGTATGGTTGTGCTTTGCTTCATATGGCAATGGCAATATGACATTTTGATATTCAATAGGAATCATTACTCATCAATTTATGAATCAGTTGTCTTTTCATTTACTCTAATTTTGTTGTCATTTCCAATGAATACAACAAGCCACCAGGTTTAGTTCACTGAATTGGAAGGCTCTGTTGTCTTCTTGCAGCTAATGTTTCGAAATCGATGCTTTGTCTTTATTGAATTGTCTAACAGAGATAAGTGAATGAGAGTTTTATAGTCAGAGTCTCTTTAGACCTGCTGAATCTTCATGGTGTTTGCTAATTTCGATTTTGGGGTATACAATGTTATAATAGCATGTAATTTGCCTATACATTTTTTTATTTCATGGATAGCTTCTGTGACTCTTAAATAGGTGGAAACCCTCCGATCCACTGGACGAATTGACAATCTTTTGTTTTCTGCTGCATTTCAGCTGAATGTGTCATCACTGCATATAACTTTTCCATCTGAAGGTGAATTTAGCAAGTTGAAGGATAGTGGATTGTTGCAAAGGATTGGGCTGCAATACCATTGGACAAACCGGAATTACAAATGGTACGTTAACATGAGATTTATAGAACTTCTGGATTGCAGTGGTTTAAAGTGCTCTTCTGACCACATAAGGCTATGACTCAGGGCCCACATTTAGTCATAAGCACGGCCTGGTAGACATATTAACAGGATTACATCACAAACAAGGGGCACCTACAATTTTCATCACAATAATGCAACCTCCAGGATTTTCTTTTCAACAACCTTCCACACTTGTTAACATATCAAGATCCCAGATTGTTGATAACTTGATATACCTTTTCTTTCATTTTATCTGGGAGTTTATTTGGGCAGTGTGGTGTTCAAGCTAGTAATACAATCTTCTCAGACATTTCTTGGCGGTTATGATATTGTTTCCCCCCTGTTTGGATTTTTACATCTGCATGACCATCCCAATGGAATAGTTGATGTCGGCAGATAATTGTAGATAAGAGCTTACATGCAAGAAATGCAAGTCCCTATGTTAAAAGTATAAACATTCTACCTTGGGATTTACGATCATGCCATTGCCCTCATTTGCTACTTTTGGAAATTTTATGAGCTTACATTCTACTGATTATGTGATTATGATATATCAATATTTACTGATATCTCTTTGTTCCACCCTTCAGTTTTGATGATTTTTTGATGGATTTGAAGCAGCCCAAACGGAAGAATATCAGACAAGAACGTAAAAAGGTTTGCCTTTGTTTTGGATTCCCTTTTCAAATTTTGGATATAAATAACATTTATATTTTTATCCTGCTTTTCAGATTCCTGCTCAGAACTTAAAAATGAAGCGCCTCCGAGGAGATGAAATAAAGGTACTTACGGTGCTCAGCTGCTTATTTGTACTCAGTATTAGTTTTCTTGACATCATCAGATACTTCCAGAAATGCCTGCTCATCCGCCTTTCTTTCTGAGGCACTTCAAGTTTATTTCACAAAACAGTTGCAGATTTTACCAACTTATAATGGTTTTCCTTCGCATTGCAGAGCAGCCACTGGGACACCTTCTATAAATTCTACCGTAACACAACTGATAATCAGTTTGGTCCAATAACACTCTTTCCTTGTAATTTACTTTCTGTATTTTCCATGTTAAACAATTCCCAAGTGGTTCTTTCCTGAACAAATCACAAGGTTTCTCCAAATAGTTGTCTATCTTCAACAGATTTTTACCAATGCATGTGTCACTGTGCAATAAGAGCTTGAAACTAATTAAAGCAATAACAGCTGGCAAAATGCTTTTAATTGGTAAATAATAGTGCATATAATTGTACTTTGATTGGACGCACAAAGT